TACATACTTACTCCGATCGGTGCAAAAATTGACATACCGCGACGCAGGATCAAAGTAATTCTGTAGTTTGGTCATGTCGTTTCTATCAGTCACCATATTTTAATCCGACATTATCTTTTTGTAAGTTAAAGGAAGAGGTATATACTTAGCCGTAGTTTATTGTCGATGGACAAAAATACTGATTATAGTGAAGTTGTACAGTATTTTGAAACTAAATGAAAGAAACAGTTTTAGAGTTTGTAATTATTGTTGTTGCAGTACATAATTTTTTTTGGGTCTTATAACCTTTTTTCATAAATATATTCTATTTACCAGTTCCTCTAATTATTCGCTAACCATGTAAATATTATGATAATTTTCAATCCTTCGTGGAAATACCGCATATTCATCAAATCCATAACCTTATCACACATATTTACACACTGGCACCGAGTTTTATAGACTCTGTGATATACAATCAACTTTGTTACACGTTTATTATCAGACACAAAATGTACTCGTTAATAAATCAATTATCATTATTATTAGTTACCTACGCTTATGAAGGACGGAAGTCATTCTGCGACCTCCGGCGCCAGAGTCGTCTGCGGTACCTGGCCCGTTGCTGGGCCTAGCGCTCCGGGAGAGTTCTAAACACCTCCCGGTCCCGCTCCGCCACCTCCTTAGCAAGCATAACTTGCTCGCAGAAGGAGACGGTGAAGTTCCACGAACTCTTGCTCCGTACCATGGCGGCAATCATGTTACCGAGCGAGAGAATTGCCACTCCGATGGCCGCCAAGAAGTAACGCATCTGCCCTACCTACGCCGGGCATTCTGCCAGCGTGTGGAGCGCTGTGTCCACGGTCCAGCCATCGCAGTGGTGGCACTCAGGTGTTGGCTCCTTGCGGATCAGACACAGGTGATCTCCGAAGCATCCTTTCCCGGTGATCACCTGCGTCAACCGGTATGAGAGGGTTCTGTGATGCCTTTCGAGCCAATCCTCCATGAAACATCAATTAGACCTAACATTTTGAAAGGTGCCTCAGGTAGAGATCTAGTAGTCTGACTGTCTTGGAATCCTAAAAGTAGTACTGAAGACTCCGTGCATTTAGTAATGGTATATTCGTAAAAACAATTAGACATATTAGATCAATATTTATCAATATCATCACATCGAATCATCTTTATACCGATGACTTTCAGGTCTATTATTAAGCCTCGAGAGACGACATAAACAAGGCGTTTTTATGGTTAACAATAACCTGGAGGCTTTAGGTTGGGCTGATAGATTTGGTTTAGCTGTGAATCCAGCAAAGTGCCAAGCCATCATGATAGACAGTCAACGTAAGACTGGGAATATAGACCAAGATAAACTGAAACCCATTACTATTAGCGGCGTAGTGATTCCCTTCAGTCCTTCCGTTAAGAGCCTCGGCCTATTTGTTGACTTTAAGCTCAGCTTGCAAAGCTGGCCTTCTATCGTCTTTAGATTTTCCTTCCTACCGAGACAAAAGCGATGCTAGTACAGACCCTTATTGTCCCTATCTTAGATTATGGTGTTGTATGCTATTTTGATGTGGATGCAGATCTCCAACACTAGTATGACCACCTCGTCTCGAATTCCCTCTATTCCATTCTCAAGTCATCGATTTCCCCTTCCCACTTGGTATCCTAATCCCAATTTCTATGTTCCAATCACAATAGAATTCTCAGTTCGTCAAACAATGGACTCCTGTTATGCCCCACTCATGCTTCTGCGCGTGTCCACTTTTCGTTCCTAATCAAATCTGTCCTGCTCTGGAACGCTCTACCTTTCGAAATCAGGATAGCACCCAGCTGCCTTTCATTTAAGACGAAAATCCGAGCTCGCATTTGGGACACCCTAGCAGATTCCTCACATCCGTAAAGTTTTATATATTATTTGCGCAAATAAGTACTTATGTATATAACTCAGTAAGTAAAATATGTAGCTATGTGTATTTCAGTATGTATATCTGTCCCACTGTTTTAGTACATCCCCTTTATTATTAGTCCTCAATATCAGCTTTCCAAAAAAAAAACTTAATTTCTAGTGCACCTTACTCAGAAATTTACCCACCACCCAAAGGTTAACTGGGAGAAAATGGCTGTCCCATTGAGTCGGTCATTGTACAATTAATTTGTTATTTGTGCGTAAAGCATTAAATTAAATAAATATCATTCTTCATCTTGTTTTGTCGTGAAATGTTAATAGATTTTACGTATGTAAACAGTTGCATTGCAATTTTGATCTTTATAATAATAAATGAGTTTATTTTGCAAACAGATCTATTAATCCTTTCAGAAACGTTTACACGTTGATTCGTTCGTTCAAGCCTAAAGCTAATGATGTTAAACTTACCTTAAATATCTAGATCTTAAGTCATAAATTTTCCAAAAATTTATTTTCTATAAAACAAAGTCAGCCTGTATGTCGGCAGCTTTCTCCACCGCAAAACACCGAATAATATCACTGGCATATTAACGGGCAATTTTCATATACGTTAACGTACGAATTATGTATGATGCTGAGCTGAATCGATTAGATAAGTTAAGTGACGTAAAAAAGGGCCCCATAGATACTTTAAATATAATGTAATGTGTGTAAATACTCAAGAATGTAGTAGCATCTAAAACGTCAATTTCGATATCTTATGTATTTACACTACTTTCAACTTTTAAACACTAGCTTTTGCCGGTGGCTCTGCCCCTGTGTATGTTCAATATTGCTTTAAAAAGTAGCCTATGTCTGTCCTTACTTATCAAAGTATCTCCATCCCAAGTCCATGCCATTAAAATCGGTTCACGGTTTAACCGCAAAAACGTAACATACACTACAGAGAGAGTTACTTTCGCATTTATAATATTAGTAGGGATTGTGAACTTTATTTCATACTACTATTAGTCTTTCGATCTTGATAATAACACGTAAATAATTATGTAAGTACAGTAATTATACACATACATTATATAACTGTACAAAATACATAGATTATTATGAAATGTATATTAGCACATGGAGTCCACGATTACATACACATTTATCTCAAGTACCCAGACGTGAATATACATTAAGGAGCAGATTCTCAAAAGACAAACTTTTTGTTTAATTTTGGGTTAATCCTAAACAGTACAATCCGCATATTTCTGTCTGAGCAGTGTAGCACCGCACTACGAAACATATTAATCGCTCCCAAGAACAGACGTAAATAAAATCAAAGAGAAGGAAGTCGATAAAATTTGTCTTAAATGTTTAATTGCTTCTGGTGTCTGCGCTGAATTAAATAAAACTGCGCATAACTTTGTCCCTTTATCTAATTTTTACCGCTTGTTCAGTGCTTTCTGCTAAAGAAAAAGTTTTTTTAGCAATATTTCAAATAGGATATGGGAAACCTCTTTCAGAGTCTTTTCATTTTATCACATTCATTTACTTTATTTTATTTAAAAAGAGATTGCCTAATAGCCTAATTGACAGTCGTGAATGTGTTGTTGTATGTCTTCTGCCAGTACAAATTGGGATGTCGCTGAATAGCCTTTGTACAATGACAGGTCAAATAAGTTTTCGACGTTGAACTTTATGGAATATGCGTTTTTGTTTAATAAGTACACAGAATGCTCTTCGTGAATTATTATAAAAAAATGAAATGACCAGATACAGTTGACTGTATGACAAGCAACTAAAAGCTGAATCAAAGATATTTTACTTACTCATTATAGGAGATTTTTCCATATCGTCACAACCTTTTTCCTGATAGAACATTTAATATAAATGGGTATTCGTTTACTATGAATCGTTATAGCGCAGTCTAGCCATATAGCTAGAGATGGTTTATACCAGACCGGAGACAGTACCAGATGTCTGATGAAAAACAGTTTGGTGCCTGAATACTTAAAACTCAAATAACGTCACTTGTGCGGTGCTAAACTCAATCCCTTTTGTGATTCCACTCCTCTACAGAACGCTAGTATTTTTGAATCATAGAGGAATGTCGGCAAAATTTATATGAAACAATTATTGTCTTTTAAATGTTCATCTATGTAAGTCAGTTTTGCATGACCCAGTTACAATGACTAAGTTTTACTTGAATAGCGTAGTCAAATTAATGCTTTAGCTCAACATAACTGCTTTTTACGTGAGTATAAAAGTTGCGGAATACGGCTGTAAAAAATAAGGCGTTTTGTTAGACAATCTTTAAAAAAAACACCTCTATCCGATCACCATATCAACCATCGGATCTTTTGTTGTATGTTCAGTCGTAGGTAATTATTGTTACCACTATAACATTTGTAAATCATTCCTGCATACCCATATAAAGATATGATTTTGTCATCAATTTATATTGATGTCTATAATATGATTGTATTGCAGAATGTGGAATAATTTATATTAGAAATTTATTGAACTCGTCACAGTGCGTTTGATACGAGCAGATCCATGTGTTTATGTGTACACGACTTATTACGAAAATATCCATTCATCTCAAACCGAAAAGAATCTGACATTATAAAAATTATATGTTGTATTTCTTTACAGGTTGCGGGGACACGGCTTACATGGAACAAAGGCAATTAATTTAAAAACTAAAGTTCCTTGCACGATACGCAAATACTCGTACTGACTGCCGATGTTTGCTCTCAGAACGTTATCATTTGATAAGTTAGAGCACAAGCCTCGAGCAAACAACGTTATCATGGTAATGTCGTTCTTACTGGAGACATTGAGGTACTCCGCAGACTCCGCTTCAGTCAGGCGTGGCACGCAAAACACCTGAGATATAAGTGATTTAATCTAATGTGTCTGCATGGAGCTATGGCAGTTGAGATCAGATAGATCTGTGACAGTGATTAATGTAACTTTAAGTTTATAGTGTAAATAGTCAAACCAAAGAACCAAACCAAGGCTGTTTAGCTCAAATTACTGCTAGTCGAAGAAATAAAATACCGTCAAACTGGAGGACATACAGTTGTACCCTCAGGAAGTTATAGACAATGTCACTGCCAAGATGGAGGAGTGTCAGGCGCAGAACGTCAATTTGTCGGAAAAGTTCTGTCCTGCGTATTACGATGGACTGCTTTGCTGGGACCCGACGCCATGGAATACAGTTGCCGTTCAAAAGTGCTTCAGCGAGTTTCATGGCGTCGAGTACGACGACACACGTAAGTCTTTCTACTTCTTTTAATCTCAATAGATAAGTGAACAAGGTCATTGAGTGTTTGTCAGTATTCCTCAAGGCATTAGCTTTCTTAAATGGTAAATTCTATAGTATCAAAATACAGAAAAAGAATTTCATTAACTACATTCTGTTGGATAAAACAAATCAAACGAGCCCAACCTCGACGGAGTTCCCTTATTCATTAACTCCGTCGAGGGTGTACGAACTGTGCATGACGGGAAGGGTGAATTCCTCAGCCAGTATACAGTATCAACAGAAAGATATATAATCTAAGATACAAAATTATAGTGTTGTCAACTAGTCACCACAAAATGTGTACTTACACAATTTCATTTCGATACAATTTGAAGTAGGTTAAAAAAAGTAGGTTAAAAAGTCTTTCACACTGGAAGATTGTTTAGTTAATTTTAATAACAGAATAATTATTTTCATTTCCTTTACTTTATTCGAGTTAAAGACAAAATTTTAAGATAATTTTCATTGACGCGAATGAAACATAAAACAATGTAGGCCATTCAATAACCTTAACATCCTCGAAACTCCTGCTGATTACATCATGAATATCCAATCTGATCCAATATAAATTTTGTTACCACGAATATATTCAACTGGTACATAATTTAAATTGTAAATGGGGGTTTAAATAGTTTTGTACAAGAATTTGGACCATAGAGAATAGAGCGGAAAAATATTTACATTTTCGGTCCATCTAACTCGGCATCCGTCAATAGCATCCATTGATGTGCTATTTTTAATAAAGTGCCCGTTTTGTTTTTGCTCTTTATACATCAGTAATGTTCCTAGTTTACATTCTTAGATCTTGCATTTTGAGACTTTTTTTAGAATGCAACCTATAGATAAAATATTTATAGATATACATTACCAGATGTTGTGTCGAATACGTAATTGACGTATATTTTGACTGTATAAGACAAATACAATAATAACCAAACTGCTGATGAACATTTACACTTTTAAATACATACGTAATACAAAAAAAAAATCTAGGCACACAACAAATGACTGTGTTCATTACACTATTATTTATACCAGGCGGAAATTGATCTATCGATCACTAACCACTGCCGGTTTTTAGCTGCTTTCAGTTTATGATCGATATTGCATTTTACTACTTTAAAATATATGTGGCATATTAGAATAAAAATTTATTAATTCTAGTTGCTCTATTGTTGGTGTTAAGTGTTGGATGAATGTAACTTATTACATTAATACTTTACACGAATAAAGTTCAACTAAATATCCGACAGCTTTGGTTCTGGTTTTTTGTAGAGAATCAACTTACTAATTAAATAGTATTGAAATTATTATAACATTCATGTTTCATTATTATAATATATCTATATTAATACTAGTTGACCCGGCAAACGTTGTATTGCAAAACAAAAAACAAAATAGGGATGGGTCACCCTTACCATTTAGGGGTATGAAAAATAGATGTTGGCCGATTCTCAGACCTACCCGATGTGCACACAAAATTTCATGAGAATCGGTCAAGCCGTTACGGAGGAGTACGGGAACGAACATTGTGACACGAGAATTTTATATATAAGATTACAAAGAGATAAATTAAAATCCGTTACGACTGATCAGATTGTGAAAATTCTTTCACTGTTTGAAAAGTGTATTATCCCTGAGTACTATAGACTACTTTTTACCGCGATAACCAACATACACGCGGGTGGACCCTGCGGCAAGAGATAGGATGGAACATAGTAAAAAGTGATAGTTTAAACCTTTGAAATATACTCATAATTCTAAATATGTAGACAAATTCCTATTATTTACTGCAAAACCATGTCTCTTCTAAAACTTTCCCATATACGCAATGCAAAATATTAACCAATTTGATATAACATATAACAAATATATTAGCTGCTGCATTTCTCAATGATGCTGCATTTACAAAACGTGGGGTATACTGAAAGTCTCACCAAACATGTTAACTTTAATTTACGAGACTGTCATTTGTTTATTGATTGTGACGTCTTTTCGAAAATCGACTCTAAAATTGACACCGTACAACAACCTATTGCAACTGACAAAAAAACATACTTGCCAGCAAATTCGTACTTTGATAGGCATTGGGATGAGCCAAGTGCAAAACATTTCACATGTGCATCTGAAGTTCGGAAGCTTTGCACTCGATGGATACCGCATGACTTAACGGAAGACCAGTGGTACCGTAAAATGATTGGCTGTCTATAATATCATGACAGGTGATGAAACTTGAGTGAACACCTTTGAACCCGAAAGAAAAAGCCAGTCGGCAGTCGGTTGAAGATTTGCCGACAAAAGTTAAGAAAAGCCGAAGCATTGGTAAAAATTGTTGCTTCTTTTTCGGCAAATCATTACACTACAGTATCGCTTGAAGATCAAAGGACAATGACTGCAAATTGGTGCGTCAACACTTGCTTACCCAGTCTTAGTTCGCGAAAAGCGTCCTCGAAGCAATGTTCACCTTCACCACGATAACGGATCCTCACATTCCGCTAAGGTAACAGAAGCCTATTTGAAGGCATCAAATGTGGAACTGATGACGCTTCCGCCGTACAGCCCGGACCTCGCATCCTGCGACTTCACTTTGTTTCCAAAACTTAAAGACAAACTTAGAGGCACACGTTTTACGAGCCCTGATCGGCGGTGAATGCGTTCCGTGAAGCCATTGAAAAGGTATCTAAGGAAAACTGGTCGTTTCAGCGAATGCAAAAATGCATTAATTGCAAGGGAATATACTTTGACAAACAATAAATGTATCGTGAGTGTTACATCTAGTCTTATTTATCAGAATCCAGAAACTTTCAGTGTGCCCTAAGTATTAAGTACTTAAGCACCCAGTTTTACGCTACTTAAAATTTTAACAAACCTAATACATGTGTTTACCTAAGTAAAATAAAGTAAATATGTAAAAGAGAGCGTAAACTAAAACATATTTACAATAATGTATAGGTATATATGGTACTTACATGAAATGATACCACTAGCGCATTCATTGTGATTTTTTACTGTATAATACTTTGCGTGTTGTACTGAAAAATATTTTTATGTCTTTTAAATGTGCTCAAAGTCTGAGGGTATCCACTTACACACTATACACACTAAATATATGTTATACACAAGTGTAGGCTTATGACTTAACAGAACACATTTCTTACTACAACAACGTGCTTTATTCCGTTCAGATATCAAACAAAAATGAAACTTACTGAAACAAACCTATATAGTTACGAGTATATTAGGGCAAATGAAATGACACTAAATGAATTTAAATTTAGAGGAGTAGAATTTTACGAATTAACCTGGGTTGGAAATAGTATATTAGAAATGCAATAGGAAGATAAAACATACTCTAAAGCCGTTTTATGTCAAGTCAAATCATATTTTTATGCCATAAAATTCTTTTAAAATTGTTTGTAATCGCCTCTTATGCACACTACTCGTAAAGTCATAGACACACAATAGCAACAATCTGTTTTGTCGAATACTTAGTAAAATAAATGTAAACCTGTATATCTATTATATGCCTGCTGATCTACAACCGCCCGTTTCCAAGGGGTTGAGCCTTATGAGAAGAAAGCGCAAACAAACTCACAGCCACTCCCTTTAAATTACCAGATAGATGATGTATCTTTTACTGGAATCATTAAATCTACTACAACATTGTTTTGATATGTGCCATTTGAAGTCTTAATGAACTTAATGAAACGAAGAAGAAATAATTTAGCGACTATCTATAACGTTTTCACCATACTTTTTAAGGCGTAGGCGTAATCTCAAATTAATCTCTGCTCACAGAGAATGCATCAAGGCTGTGTATGGAAGGCGAATGGCGGAATTACTCTAACTATGCCAACTGCACGGAGCGCATCACCAACGTGTCGCCTACGGACGTCACAAGCCTCATATACCTCTCTGGCTACTCTATCAGCCTAGCTGCGCTGTCGCTAGCCGTGTTTGTGTTCCTTTATTTCAAGTAAGTGCTACATATATAAATGTGTGTGTTTATTTACGCAACGAATCTGGGATTAGGCACTTTCTAAAGTTCGATTTGTTGTTAGATTGTTGTATTATAAATATTCATGGCCTTTCACTATCAAAGAAACCTTTAGTAGGTTTCTTTGATAGTGAAAGGTCATGAACTTCTTTGGGTGACTGAGTAAACAAAATAAACACACATAGAATAGATATACTATGTTAATATAAATACTAAACTTATAAATCATTCATGTTTGGCATACATGTGCAATATGTATAGTCTTTCCTCTTCTTCTTCCTCCGAGCCTCTTTCCCAAACTAGGTTGGGGCTGGCTTTAAGACGTAAGAATATTATCTTTATTCATGTTATAATTACGATATAATCATAGCAACCGACAAATAATGTTTTTTGCGGGCGATATCACATTTGTAATTCATCAATTCACCCTCATCACATGCATGTATGAATTTCTATACAGTATACTATTCACTTATAGAGTATACTTTTCACTTGCTTAGTTAAAATGCTAAAAGTTAGTGTTGATGTATGAATGAGTATAAAGAATGTTACAAACCTTTAACTTTTTGTTATAATACTACATGTTCTCCACGAAGGGACTTCATGGAAGTAAACATGACTCAAAAGGCAGTAAGTAGTGAAATAATATATTATAGAGTAGGCGTGAATGGAAGAAGAATTAAAACTGCTACGACCCTAGACAAATTTTGGAAAATAGGTTAAATGAGTAAATGAATCTGTGAGCATATGACCGTAAGATCGATACTTCTTACGATACATTCAGTAAGCATACACCATATTAGGCCAATTTATTTCAAACAGTTCAATAAATAACTAAAATGCAATTCTGAAGAAGTTCTGCCTTTGGCCTCGAGTAATTTAATGTTGATTGAATAAGGTCGTTTCAGCGAATCAGCGAATCAGAACCGATTCAAGAAAAATGTTGCTTGTTAGAATTACTTGAATCAAAAGTCGTATTTTAGGAGTGGGATTTTATGTTTTGTTTTAATTTTTAGAGATGTTAAATCATCATGATCTTCCTAACCCTTTCAGAAATTTATTTGGGGTCTATAGAAAGAATTTTCACGTGCTCCTACTATTGCGAAATTAGTTAGGCTTTTAATGTTATCATAACATCATTATCAAAGCCTCCCACTAAAAAGGAGGTTTTGGCCTACTATACCACGCGGGTCAGACGGGTTGGTATAGGGTTTCTTTCAAGTTTCCCCTGGCGCCTCAATCGTGGTCAACTCGGGCCTCGTACCGGTTCGGGCCCAGATGAAATATCTGGGCCTGATCCTCGACGGGAGGTGGCTCTTCGACGAGCACTTCCGACAGCTTGCTCCAAAGCTGGTCGGCGCTACGTCTTCCCTACGGCGACTTTTGCCCAATTTAGGTGGGCCCAGCGTCGCGACAAGACGGCTGTACAGTGTACACGGGGGTTGTCCGGTCAATGGCACTATACGGTGCATCGGTGTGGGCGGCGGCTCTGACCGCCCAGAATAGGGCACGCCTCTGGCGCCCTCAGAGGGTAATGGCGGTCAGAGCCATACGCGGTTACCGCACCGTTTCAACGGAGGTGGCGTGCGCGTTGGCCAGAACTCCCCCGTGGGATTTGGAGGCGGAAGTGCTCGCCGAAGTTTATCGGCGAGTGGCTGACTCCCGGGCGGAGAGCGGATTTCGCCCTCCGCACGGTTGCTTCGGAAAGTACCTGCACTCGGTTGCTAGGAGGGAACTGAGTCCCGCCTGCCACCACTGCGACTGCAGTGAGGACTCGGCCCATCACACGCTGGCGGTCTGCCCCGCATGGGCGACGCAGCGCCGGGCCCTCACTGCAGTCATCGGAGTGGATCTCTCGCTACCGGCCGTAGTACGCTCCATGGCCGGTAGCGACAGTTGTTTTACCGTGGTCGCAACCTTCTGCGAGGAAGTAATCTCGCAGAAGGAGGCGGCGGAGAAGGCCCGGGAGGACGATCTCCACTCGGACCCGATCCGCCGCCGGCGAACCGGGCGGCGGAGGCGCGCCTATCACCGCCTCATGCCGCCCTGAGTGTGGCCGCGGGTGGACGGGGTGGGTTTCCCCTCCACCCGCATTAGTTTGGCCAGCCGCGAGGGGGCGGCGTCCGCGTGTGCCGGACGTCGCCTAAAGAGAGGAAAAAAAAAAAAAAAAAATTTGAGACGGAGCCCGCACCAGGAGCGGGCCGGCGCTAGGAGGGGTCCGGATGTCTTAATAACAGCTGTTCCCGGATCCCTCCTATTACAGGCGCAGAGTGGCACACCGTGTGGCTTTAGTCGGTCCGAGTCCGACACACCCCCCCCGCCGCAAACCCCGGTGGTGTGACGGTCCGTGGGGATTTCCACACGTTAAAAAAAAAAAAAAAAAGGGTTTCTTTCAAGTTTATCTTTTCTTTGGAGATTGCATTTTTTGACACCCACGGGATGGATAGGGGTGGTGACACTCCGTGTAATGCTGTATATATATATATACAATACTATATACAACATATACAACATTATATAACTATATATATACTTTTTTTCAAACATGTTTATCCCATTTCAAGTTACGCACTTGTACGGAAATAAAGCATGTATTTAAATACACCTACACACAAGTGTAACTTGTGTATCGGCGTATAAAAGACTGACAAGTGGCTACCCTCAGAATGAGTCTTTGAGCACGTTTGAAAAACATAAAAACATTTATCCTTGCGATATGCAAAGTATTACGCGTATGAAATAAAAATACTAAATTGTATACCAATTTTACGATCGCAAAATTTAAAGCACTGCTAAGTTTTGCGCTTATGTAGATAGTTTATACACTTTTTTTGTAAGTAAAGACAAATAAATGTAACATTATGTTATTAGTTACGTCATGTTTGTAAATTATCTTGTATTTTTCTAGTAATGCTAATAGCAATGCATGATTGTAATTGTAATATCTCAAATAAAATTAAGCAACCAAAAGATTACCTATCTAGGAGGTAAATTAGAACAAACAAATATACAGACATATAAATATTTAAAAGAAATGTTAACATGGAATTACAAATGTACGCTTGATTGTTGTTGTGTTGTTTTGTAGTGATGTTATGTAAATACAGCGTTAACCACTAAAACTAGTTATTGAATTTCGAATTCTCTAGTATACGATCTTCTTAACAGATTGCTCTTAAAGCACATTTATCTGATTGAAACTTCCCACAAAGGCATTGCGCCTTTGTGCCGGTGTTACTATGCCGATGCATTAAATTAAATTCCATGGACGGTTCTAGGCACAATGTTGGTCTAAATTAACTATAGTTAGATTTTTAATCGTTTACTTACTTATTGTCCGCATGTTAACGGATTAAGAATATGGATTGACACCACCCTTATTCATCCCATGAATGTCGTAAGATGCGAGTAAGAGAGGTAGTTACGCAGGACAATACCACTGCAAACTGAAGAAAACCTTGAAACAAACCCTTTTTTTTACGTGTGGTAACCCACTCGGGCCGTCACCCCGCCGAGGTGGTGTGTCGGAATCGGACCGACTAAAACCACACGGTGTGCCACTCTGCGCCTGTAATAAGAGGGATCCGGGAACTGCTGTTATTAGGACATCCGGACCCCTCCTAGCGCCTGCCCGCAACGGCGCGGGCACCACCTTCGCCTACATTTTCCATTTAGGCGACGTCCGGAACACGCAGACATCGCCTCCTCGCAGTTCGCCGTTATGGCGGGTGGAGGGGAAAACCCGTCCCGTCCACCCGCGGCCTCACTCAGGGCGACATGAGGCGGTGGTAGGCGCACCTCCGCCGACCGGTTCGATGGCGACGAATTGGATCCGAATGGAGGTAGTCCGCACGGGCTCTCTCCGCCGCCTCCTTCTGCGAGATGACGTCTTCGCAGAAGGATGCGACCGCGGTGAAACATCTGACACTACCGGCCATGGAGCGTATGACGGCCGGCAGCGAGAGATTTCCACCGATGACTGCGATGAGAACCCGGCGCGCTGAGCCGAGTCCTCACTGCAATCGCAGTGGTGACAGGCGGGACTCAATTCCCTCCTGGCGACCGAGTGTAGGTACTTCCCGAAGGAGCCGTGCCCAGAAAGGACCTGCGTCAGCCGGAAAGAAAGGGTCCCGTGCTACCGCCTTGCCCAATCGTCGATCACCGACTGAAATCCCGCGGGGGAGTACCAGCCAATGCGCACGCCGCCTCCGTCAACCGCGCCGCGTCAAATATCTTCTTAGGGCGCCAGGGGCGTGCCCTATTCTGAGCGGTCAGAGCCGCCGCCCACACCGGTGCACCATACAGTGCCATTGACCGGACAACCCCCGTGTACAGCCGTCTCGTTGCGACGCTGGGTCCACCCAAATTGGGTAAAAGTCGCCCAAGGACAGACGCATCGCCGATCAGCTTTGGAGCAAGCTGTCGGAAGTGCTCGTCGAAGAGCCACCTTCCGTCGAGGATCAGGCCCAGATATTTCATTTGGGCCTGAACCGGTACGAGGACCGAGTTGACCACGATTGTAGCGCCGGGGACTCCCCCGGCGCTACAATCGTGGTCAACTAGTATTCCATGGACCCCGTCGTGGTCACTCGACCACGACGGGGTCCATGGAATACTAGGGCCTCCGTCTTATCCAGGGACACCCGTAAGCCCTGCGCCTCAATGCGCCCGACCACCAGAGAAACTCCCCTGGTGGCCAGGCGCGCTGCCTCTTGAAAGTTCGCCCCCTGGGCTGTAACCAATGTATCATCGGCGTAACAAATTACACCCAGCCCAGGGGGAAAATCTACTCGAAGGGCCCAGTCGTACCCTATGTTCCACAGGAGTGGTCCAAGAACAGACCCCTGTGGAACACCGCACGACATGGGCCGACACCTCAGATTACCATCTCGGTCCTCGTACACGACGGTACGCTCCTCTAAATAGTCTGTCACTAGCCGCCTCAGGTACTTTGGCACCCCATGATAGTGGAGTGCTAC